GACCTCGGTGGTATAGCGGTCCAGCACACCGCTTTACGTCCAATGATCGCTGCTTCGATTCCTCGCACGGCACAAATATTTGTATTCATGAGTATGATTGTTTGTATCGGTCTGGGTGTTTTCTATGTATAATATGTCTATGTATATGTATCAGTTATCTAGTACCCATAACACAAGCTCTAGCTAGCTTAACTTGGGTCTAGATGGCGCTGTGTGAATTGTCATGAGATTATTATTATTATTCTTGTGACTCCCGTGATACTACTCACGCATTGTATTTCCAGAGGTCTAGAGGTATGGCAATCATGCCTCTAATCTCTTAATTTTACTGACTAAAACAAGTCGGTGGGGACACTATAACTACTGGATATATTACACTAAAATCAGGGGCAATGTTGAACAGTTTCATTATTATTCGATTGCTTCGATGCTGTTTACCGTAGCTGGCCTTTACAGCTTCACCTATGGGGGTGAGTGCAGATGGCACACACCTCCAAAACGACGGTGCGGCTGAAGAGAATTCCTGTCTGACAGATACGACTTTAGTCAAGAAATATATGACAAGAAAGGGAATAAATAACGAGATGACTGCGAACAGGGAAGAATAATGAGTGGAAGAGAAAAACATATTACGATGATTAAATGAATGGGAAGCAGATGATGGATACGACTTAGTCTGAGATATTATAGTCTGAGGGGTGTCCTCAGGTTAGGGTTCAGACCGACGTAATTTCATCATAATCATCATCATCACCATCATCCTCACCATCACCATCACCATCACCATCACCATTATCATCATCATCATCATCATCATCATCACATGCTTCTTCCTTACCGACGTAATTTCAATCCCCATTTAAATTGGACAGGGATTTGACTGATCTATCACTTTCTAGATGATATTTCCTACTGAAGATTCTAATATTCACGAGAGATAGGAAGATATAGGCGAAATAGGAAGCAATCTAGGGCGCTCCTGATTTTAGGGTCGTGTGTAGATCATTTAACACGCCAAATCAACTCAGCGAGATAATTAAAAAAATACTTTAATTAATTCCGTAAAGAGTTGGAGTCTTCAAAATCCAAGACAAAATTAGATTCGATCCCTCCTCGGTAATTATCCAATTTAACTTTTTCTTACTTTTGACAGTAGATATTTAGTAGATTAATTCTTTAGCGGGATGTAAAAAAGTAATAAGATTTTTATCTATAGTGATGTACTTGTGTCGCACTGTCTCCTTCTGTTTCTTTCTTTATTATGATTACTTTTTTACTTTTATATTATTTTATTAAGATAAATATATGCAATACAGTCTACCCGCTTTCTTAGTCTTTTCTTTATGTTTTTTTATAGAAACAATATTGTGGTATTACGTATAGCTGAATATCGTTTCTATGAAAAAATATTTATAAATAAAAAGCAATTGCATTTTGCAAGGCATTAGTGTTAAATATCAATAAAGAAATAACTTTGGACAATTAAGTCAGCGCCATCTAGTACAACGGTAAGCAGAGCTTGTGTTATGGGCACTAGATAATTAATATAAATATTCAGATATTTTTATTTGTAAATACACACGTAGTATACATAGAAAACACCCAGACCGATATAAAGATACTCATGAATACAAACGTTTGCACCGTGCAAGGAATCGAACCCGCGACTATCGAAGGTAAAGCGATGTACTAAACCGAGGCTGGCTGATTAAAATATTGTTACAATTTACATTTGCTGTTGTTTGCTATAATTTTTTATCAGGCGTTAACTATGGTAATCTCTATGTCGAGGCAAATGGGATTGTTGATGATGTGGACTAATTAACCCATTACTGATATTGATATTATTATTATTATTTATCATTATTATTAATTTTTTTTATATTATTTTTTCTGATATTGATATTATTATTATTATTTATTATTATTATTATTATTAGATATTATTATTGATATTACAATGTATATTTAGGATGATCTCCACGCGGTTACCCCTGGAAATCATCGTGATAAATTCATTCTATATTATAAACGAGAAAGTTTATAAGTATGGATGGATAGATGGATAAATGGATGTCTGTTACTCTTTCACGCAAAAACTACTGAACAGATTTTTATGAAACTTTACAATAATATAACTTATACATCAGAATAATCAGATTAAAGCGACAGCTAGTCGACAAGATCCTGTAGATTCGCGATCCTCAGCAGTGAGGGAACGATAAAAAGAAGAACACATAGATGGCCCCTAAGGTTTGGCGATTGTGTGATTGTCTGTCATTACAGAGCCCCGGAACTGTCCGTGCAATTAAGCTGTGTGCGGTCGCTGCATTGTTGTGGTAAAAATACGGAAACGCGTTTGACGTAACACGATTGTGTTTTGTAATTCAATCGGAACTGTTATGGAATTGTGACCACACACCTACCTGTTGATATATCCAGCCTCTCCAGTTTATAATCACTTGAAATCTTAGATATATCACTAATAATAATATATATCTATACATATAAATAAAATTGGAGTGTCTGTTTGTATTATTAAAATAACCGTTTTTTTACTGATGTTTTTTTAATATAAATACGGTACATACACCAAAATAATATTTTTTACAATTTTTGTTTGTCTGTCTGTTTGTTCTGGCTAATCTCTGAAATGGCTGGACCGATTTTGACGGGACTTTTATTGGCAGGTAGCTGATGTAATACGGAGTAACTTAAACTACTTTTATTATAGAAAAATAAAGTTAAATTCCACGCGGACCTTACCTTAAAAATATTTCTTAATAATCAATATAAATAATGAATATTCACTGTGGTAGATTTTGCCTCTCAATTTATAAGTGTGAGGTGATGGAAACATCAATAACAAATGAAACTAATCCGATTGCTGACAGTAGATTCACCCCAGCCCAATTTGATATCTATCGAAATGATCACGATGGTTCCCAGGGGGAACCACGTGGAGGTCAACCTGCTATGGTACATTGCTAGCAATGGGGTTATAAGTTCACATTAATATCCCCTGATTAAAATAATCCCCTCATCCCCCTCAAATTTAATTAATTTGTAGTTTTCTCAGCTAACTCTGACATCAACAATTGTCAGTGCCTCTATCTACCCCACCTGGATTAGAGTCGTGATGTTAAATTAGAGTATAGACAATAAAAAAACATTGTAAATTCATATTTTTATTTGAACACTTAAATTCGAGTTGTTTAAGTACACATTAGAATTACTTCAATTAATCAACTATATTATGGCAACACATTTGTATAACAAGATTATTACAAATATAATATAAAATATATTTTACAAACTTATTGTAATACTGTATTTTATTTACACCAGTCACTAGGTTTGACAGAATCAATATTAAGGCACCCTCTAGCACCAATTTTTTTGTAAACACATCAAAAAATTGTTCCATCTACTTTCTATATTCTACTAGATTTACAGATTGTGTAAATAACGATTTTTAAACATGTATCACGATTGTTTACAATTCTACACATAATATAAATGTAATATTTGCCATCATTTTTATTATTTAAAAGGTCTCGATATTTCGATGCTTTTATAAACATCCTGTATCACTCATATGAAATCGTTTCTGTTAAAGTTGTGATGCAATACAAAATCATTTCAATTATAAAATGCGATAATGTAAGATCGAATGACGGCAATATAAATAATTTCTATCGATAAAACACTACTCTGGTCCGTAAAAACCCGTTAGCTACCGTTAATTAACCAAATTTATTGTTAGCTACCGAAAAAATGCGGTTTTTAACGGTTAGTTATTTAACTGCGACAAGAAAAAAGTAAAAATCTGTCTTTGGATCATGTAGTTTTTTTTTGCAATATAGGATGGTCTGGATGCTGGAACATCTGCATCTTCTGGCATTTTATAATACTTTTCATACGTGTTCATTAAAATAGTTCAGACAGGTATAATACCTAGAATTGAGAGGGGCTTGTTTATGGAGTCTATAATTGAGCCTTCTTTTTTAAAATTGATTGTCTGTGGTTAATCCTTTATGGACTCTAGCATAACATGCTGTTAATTAACCGTTAATAATGAACAATGTATTTTTAACCGCTTGGTTTAAAATCGTTAATAACTTTTTACGGTTCGCATCTATAGTCAGGAGTCAACTAAATAATGTTAAATATCCCATTTATACAATATTTATAAATATCCTTTAATCAAGGTAGAATGATAAAGCAACCCCCATGACAGCCACACGTCATTCCGCCTTCAGTCACAACTTGTGGGATTTTATTGGGCATTTTTCGGACTACTCTAATGCTGTTGGCCGTAGCTGGCCTTTACAGCTTCACCGGACGTTATGGGGCGAGTGCAGATGGCACTCCAAACCCGCGGAAGGACTTATGGAGCAGCTGAAGGCCAACTCCTGCCTGACGGATAAAATACCACACGTATATAAATACGTCGATTATCTAAGCGATTTTTTTTAGATTTCATACACGTTAAAAATGTATTGTTTTTTAATTCTAATATTAAATTTCAGTGTTCATTACAACAATAACATTAATATAATTTTTACAGTTGTGTGAAAAATTTATCACCAAACAACAATATTTTATTATGAAAATATATTTCTGTTAAACATAACTTGTTTAAATTCAATATGTCAACAAAACTTTTGCTAATTTTCGAAATTTGATAATAGTCAATTTTTATCCGTAACTCTGACTAAAATACATATAATTATTACATTTATTTACAATAAACACCTATAAAATATAATATAAAACAATTCAAATTTTCCTTTACTTCTTAAAAAGAATGCTATCTTTCTATTACATTTCTTTCTTAAAATATAAAGGCACGAATTTAAGGCCACTTAATACAGAATACATTTGTGTTTTTATTAGACTAAGAGCATTTTGACATGGTTACGAAATATATAATAATAAAGTTAATTATTAATCTGTTTGAACAAAATATAAATTGCAATATTTTTCTATGTCAATAGAGACTGATAAAAAAATATGTTCAAAGTGAAAGTGTCAAAAGTAAGAACTGGCAATGGAAATTAATTACATATGAATGTAAGTTGTAATTACTTTCTGTACCAGTCTAGTTATATGTGAAAAATATTTCTCATAAATATACATATCTATAATACATATGTATTTAATTTTGGCTTGTTTCTCATATCAATCAAATATATGTTGTAAATTTAGAAATAATTTAGTCAGGTTTCAGTTGGCAGTATTTGACACAAAAATTAACATATAATCCTATACATTCGACAATGTAATCTATGCCTGAGTGCCAACAGAATAGAATTCATATTTCCTCACATTTAAAATAATTAAAAATAGTATAATACTAATGAAGGAACAGATACATCTTGTGATGACGAAGGAACTTAAATTTAGGCTACATTGTAACACTTAATATCAATCAAAACAGCATCTCTACTAGAATGCAGATAAATGGTAATATTAGTATTCATTGAAATAAATAAAATTATCTTACACTATTAACACGGCTCCATCCAGCCACTAACTAAGAGGAGCTTAAATTGTGCTAACATGGTATTGAAAAATAATTATATAAATTCAAGTGAATAATAATATTATAACATTAATTAAAAGCCTTGTATAAAAAAAAATAGATTAACTATCTATTTTTATAATCTAACATATTACAGACTCTAAATGCTTTAGTTAAATCTAAGAAAGCTTTTAAAAGAATCTCTAATTGAGGTTACGTTTGAACGTCATTGTACTAAAAAAATTAAGAAATCGTTATTTTAAATCCTGTCACATGAGTTTACGTTAAATATTATTCATGAATATGTAAAACATTCAATATATCGATTCAATATCAAGTTTGAACGTAATACGTTTCTACAGATGCACCTCGCAAAGTCTCAAGACTAGAAAATGAAGAGTTTCTGCCCCAAGTAACTGTCATTACAGTTAAGGACAAATGCCAGCTAAAAGAAGACGTTTCCGGGTATATTATTTACAATAATACTGGACTTTTAGCAGTTGTACGTTATCATTGCACTATACCTATAATAGACACAAATATTACTATCGATTAATACATAATGATTCCACATATTTTGGATCCATTTCATCAATCTCACGGCCCTTTGTCTCAGGAACGAATAATAGTACAAACAACAGACATAAAACAGATATTCCAGCGTACATCCAAAATAAACCATGTAAACCTATATGACCTCGGAAATCTGCTACAGTTTTAACGTTAACAAATCCACAAAGATGGCTGAAACTTGTAGCTAAAGCACTGCCTGTACTTCGGTATTCTAATGGAAACAATTCTCCTATTAATAAAGCAGATATAGGGCTGATACCTAATGAAAATGCGATGGTAAATGTAAGAACGCAAACAAGAGGTATCCAGTCATAATTGCCAGTCATAGTCCAGTCAGAATGTGTTAAATTTGTTGAATTACTAATCACTTCGTCATAATAAGCGTATGAACCAAATCCAGCTAAAGCTATGGACATCATAACGCCACTGATCATCAAGAGAGGTAATCTTCCAACATTGTCTATAAGCATTCCTGATAAGCAAGATGCTAACAGTTGGACTACACTAGTTGCAATAGCACCTCCATGCGGATTCATCATCCTAAAGGTCTGTTTAAACATAGATACCGCATAAAAATTAAATACATGCGCTCCAGTGAATCTTTGGAAGAACATGAGACCACAAGTAATCAATACTGGTCTAGTTAACCTTTTAGAGAACAAGACCTTAAATCTTCCTGTGTCACCATCATGGTATTGTTTGCTAGCTAAAATATTCGTACGTATCGTTGCTAATTCTTGACGGATGTCGGCGTCTGGACCTCGAAGCCATTGTAGTGATCTTTCCGCTTCCTGTTCCTTTCCTCGTAGTAATAAACAAGATGGAGTTTCAGGTACAAAAAGGAGAGCAAAGAATAGAAGTATTGGTGCTACAGCAACGACCAGAGCAAGTTGTGACCAATTTAAATAGGCTCCAAGAGAGAATGATATAAGAATACCGATCTGGCTTAAGATTTTTAATACGGAGCTTAGGCATCCTCTTATATCTGGTACGGCGATCTCTGTTACATACACCTGTGGACAAAGAAAAGACAATTTTAAAATATGAAAGTTATTGGGATTATATATAAAGGCGCGAAGACGACTACGTGGTTAAAGAAGTGCTCAATATAGCAAACTCGACCAGAGGCAAAGGCAGGTCACGGTACAGACATTTGTGTTCATGAATACGATTGTTTGTATTGGTCTGGGTGTTTTCTATTTATATTATGTATACATATACAAAAAAAAATTCTAAGTATTTGTACCAATTGTCTAGTACCCATAACACAAGTTCTGCTTAGCTTGGGAACAGATGACGCTGTGTGAATTGTCCTGTAGTATCTATATGGTCATTTAGTTTTTGGCTTGCTTCCTAGAGTCGTATGGAGCACATGTGCATTGATATATGACGGTCCATCAATCTTAGCTTGTGTAACTTCTAGAGTCGATATTGCTAGCTCCAAATGCTATTTAATGCCATACTAACAGGATCGTCCAGGGTTCTTGTTATATATATACGTGAAGCTAAAACTCTGTATCTCTTATTACGACATGTGCGCGGATGGAGGAATATAAAATTTCGCACAATAATATTTTATACTAGCTGTTCCCCATGACTTCGTTCGCGTGGCGTTTATCTTTCATTTTCTCAAATAAAAATAGCCTAAGTTACTCCATATTACAACAGCTACCTGCCAATAAAAGTCAAAATCGTCCAGCCACTTCAGAGATTAGCAGGAACAAACAGACAGATAGACAAAAATTGTAAAAAATGTTATTTTGGTGTATGTATCGTATTTATATTCATATGCATGTAGTAAAAAACGGTTATTTCAATATTACAAACAAACACTCCAATTTTATTTATATGTATAGATGTATAGATAAAGAAGTGCAGTGCAAATTTCTAACTAACTCTAACTGCTACTTATTTGACATACACACGAATCTACTCTAGCCACGTAGTATTGTTTTGTGGTATTTTTGGTACAATGGAAATATTTTCACGGCTGTCACCAGCTTGTCACAACACACGTTGATCAATATACATGTCTTACGTATCGTAACTAATTCTTTAATAGAGGCCCGTGATATTTTAAACTGTTTCATTTCAGGTTATAAAATTTGAAATTTGACAACAAAAACGTTTAATAAATGTATAATTTCATAGTGCTAACGATATTATCTGATTGCGGAAGGAATGAGTGCGTAGCGATTTTTATATCGATCAACACATGCCTCCGACTTGTTAATATGTATTTATTTGTTTAAAATAACATTTAGGATTATTTCATAATGCTGACAATATTATCTGATTGCACAATGAATGAGTGGATCGAAGGTCGTGAGTTCGAATTTAGCGGAAACCATAAAACTCCACTCTTGCCGATACCTCTGTCTGCCCAACGTAGAATTATAGTCGTTATTAGTCTAATTATTATCATTATATAGTATAAAACAAAGTCGCTGTCGCTGTCTGTCTCTATGTATGCTTAAATCTATCAAACTACGCAACGGATTTGGAAGCTTTTTTTTAATAGATAGAGTGATTCAAGAGGAAGGTTTATATATATGTAATATATGTACACCGGTGTGAAGTCGGGGCGTGTAGCTAGTATATACTCAATTTAAATTCTCTTTCTCGCTATCCTTATCTATATTATCTTATTATTATATAAAGCATTATAAATCAGTAGAACCTTGCTGTTTTCTATGTACTAAAACAATTTATATTTAAAGTGTCTAATAGTTAAGGATGTGACATTCTGTGTAATCCCTCGATTGTTAAATAATCGTTTATTTTTGTTAACTAATCGATTAAATAATAGGCGATTATTTATTGAATAAGATTCAATTTTCCATAATCGATATTTTTTCTATAATTCAAATTTTCGCCCCGCTTATGAGTGTTCTTGTTTTTTCTACAATACTTTTATATTAGTTCGATAATTTGTCTATGATTAAAATTTTGAGGCCTCTTCACCCGTAGGTATTCTTGTTTTTCTACAATATTTTTTTCCATAATTGATAATTTTTGTACAATCCAATTTTTCAGGTCTCTGGACTTGTGAGTGCTCTTTTTTTCTACAATATTTGTTCCATAATCGATATTATTTATATTATTTTTCTATAATTAAATTTCTGGCCTCTCTTTTTTATAATTAAATCTCTGGACCTATGGGTGTTATTGTTTTTTTAAGGTCAACATTTGTTGAAGTATTTACAAAACATTTAATTAAAAAATTAAAATTTTCATAATACGAATTTGATTACATATATAATTATTATCAAATTATTAATCGATTATTTTTCACATCCCTACATATAGCTATAATCGTAAAATTGTGCTTGCATACTTCTTTGAATACATTTACACCGCGTCATGTATATATACATTTTTATCATTCATCGTAGTAAAATCACTTATCTGATCACATAGCTCCAATAAAACGACCATAAAACTAAATAGTACGCTTTACATGGGACTCGGGACGTTTAACAATTCAGTTGAATGTCATATTCATAACTTCACCATTATTGCTAGTACGCTGTATGGTCATAGAGTAGTAGCGAAGAAAGTCCAGATGTGTCAAATATAGACCTGTAATAGTATTTACCTCGGCTTTATTATGGTGCTTATAACTTCATAAATTTCGTGTATCAGAAACAAATCTATTTTAATTACAATTAAGTTATACAGTGATATACAATAGAAGCCATGAATAAGTGGTGATGCATAAATCATTGACTGAACCGCTTATCAACGCTGTCACAACATGATGTTATTATAATATATAGCCTATGTCACGTGACTTCGAGTGCTCTTTTCGGTGTAGGCTCAGCAAGGGTCCCTTAATCCTTCATCCGGGTTACAAGTCCCGGCAACTACTCGGAGTTTCAATCTCTGCTACACGATGGACCCGAATACTAAGAAGTTAATCCTTCACTCATACTAGCTATGGCACACGCTTTCGAGTGCTTTTTTAGATAAAAGATCTCCATCCTCATGGTCCATTTCATTAAGATTCCTTAAAAATTCTATTAAAAAATAAGATATTTATAAATCATCTATAGACACTAATATTACAAATAGCGAACCTCAGAAACCATTGTATCGGGTTGTGAAAATATTTCACTATTTGAAAGGTACATTATTTCAGAGAGTCTGTCTGACTGTTTGTTACTTTTTCACAACTTATACGGCTAAACGTATCCGAATGAAATTTGACGTGGGATAGATAGATATATATTAAGAAAATAGACAATATTCTAACTCACAAAATAATCTATAATAATAAAAATTAAATAGGGCATGAAAGTTTATGCATACGAGGTTAAATGTAACATATAATTTGTCACAATTGAGAAGTATAAGTACAGGATTACGTAGTTAAAACCGAGGAGTCGCTAGGACCGTGCAATCCGCCGGGTCCGTTAGGATAGTGCTGTTGCTCGTAGGCATTAAAGTATACTACTCAGCCATGTCTGTTGCGTTATCTATTCTATGGTCAAGTTCACGTACACCCATGAAAGGAGTCATATCTTTTTGTCGCTGCTTGTCTGAATAGACTGTGGAATGGTGCAAAACATACGTTTTATGTGATATGTGGCCGTTATTTGTAGTTCTGTTAGATCTTTCACACATTATACGATTTGTTCCCGATAGTCGTTTGTTTTATCGAGTATCAAATCTACGTATTTCTATTGATCCGTACGTGTGACGCCCATACCTATAGAGAATAGGCATGTGATGTATAGAAAGATTTACTTCATTTTATAATTTTAGTTTTTCATAGTTTTCTTTATGGTCTCATATATAATATAATATATAATTTTTAGTAACATACATAATTTTTTATCGTTATCCCTACCATCCAGTTCGACTATCTGTTTCAATTTAGAAGAACGACAAGAAAATCAACTGGTATATTTTATTCTTTATATTATATATATATTTTTTAAACAGATTAAGTTCAATTTTCTTTCATAAATTTAGTTTTTATTTATGTTACTAGATGGCGTTGTTCAATTGCTACAACGCGCTATGTTTTTGTTTTTTGAGCAATGTATAAGATATAGCAGTTTTCTAATTACACTGCTTGATCCAAAAAACGTGATTAAACAGCGCTTCGAAACCCTAGCGGTGACCTAAGACTTTGAGACTAAGGTCGTATCCTCAGAATAAAGGCAGGAGTTGGACTTCAGCTGCTCCATAAGTCCTTCCGTTCATTTGTAGTGCCATCAGCACCTATCATCTGGTGAAGCTGTATAGGTCGTCTGCGGCCAAAAGCATTAGAGTAGCGAAAAAAAAAATTTACCGTATTGTTTAGCTGTATACATATTAATGACATATTTGTGGTAATTGCGATCCTTTTACACTTTTGTTTTGAATTGTAATAGCATTTTTGTTTCTCCTAATGCGAATGTATATTTTTAAAGCAACGGCGATTATACAGTCTATAATAGGTTCCATACAAAATCTGCAAAAGGCTTTACCCAAAGACTCCTTATAATATACACTGTAGTTTATACGTCTCATAATATGCACGTAAAAGAACGCACCGGTTAAGTTCGTAAAACCTTTATGATAATATTTAGGTAGGCAATAATCTCGAAGCTTCTCTATAGCGTTTGACGACCGTAAAATTGCAGTGTCAGTTTGTTACTGCATTATTACGAGTATACAAGTTGTATCTTTAAAACGTGACTCGCTGCTTAGTTTATACATAAAAACAAAGTGACAACCGGTATCTGTTCGTTTATATCTTTTAAATTACGCAACGGATTTTAATGTAATTTTCAGCTATAGATAGAGTGATTCAAGAGGAAGGTTTGTATGTGTAATACATGCGCATTATAGTATAGAATAACCGAGTAATTCAAAGATTTGTAATGTATCTTAGCGAAACCCATCGAGTCGCTAAAACATAATATAAAACAAAGTCGCCACCGTTGTCTGTTCGCTTATATCTTTTAAATTACGCAACGGATTTTAATATAGTTTTCAGCAATAGATAGAATGATTCAAGAGGAAAGTTTATATGTATAATACATGCGTGTCATGGTATAGAACTAACCGACAAATAAAAAAAATTGTAATGCATCTGTATACTCATACAGCTAGTAGTTCAAAGTTTAGAAAAGAGATTTTTTTTAAATAAAATTTAACTTTAAGGACCAGGAATTGAATGTGTATATAATTTAATTTATTGTTAGGGGCACGAAATGAAATTTAACTACCTCGAAAATATTTTGTGTTTTATTTTTTATTTATTCGCAAATACAACATATAAAGTACATATAACGAACTTAACATTTCAAGGCGTTCTCAACCAGTTAACTGCATTATAACTACCAAACATACATGGTAAATATTTGTCAAACTACATAAATATAATGTATGTGTATATAAGTAATTTATGGTCTTCTTAAAACATAACTCTGCAAAAAAAGCGGAGTGGCAGCATCAACTGTGTATTGCAAGCTTGTATATCTTGCCTTACAATTTCTACTAGATGTACCAAACAACGCTGTGGGAGAGAAGAAACTGCGGCACTAAACAATTGAGATATTATTTTTTTGTTAAAACTGCTAAAGCATTTGTTATCATGATTGATCGTCATAATCACTTCACATGTGAAGAGAGACGCAGTTATTTGCAAACAATTGCGGTAAGGAAAACTTATTTATACTTTATACATATCATACAAAAGGAACATTTTTTATTTAATATATGTTAATAGTACTCTCGCCTGCGCTAGCGGTATACGCTGGCGGAGCACTAGTGGTGAAGATAAAGATGAGGTGGGGACTGATGATCTCATTGCTAGCAATGTACCATGTCAGGTTGACCTCCACGCGGTTGCCCCTGAAAACCATCGTGATAAATTACTGGTGAATTTGTCACGATGGGCGAAGTGATCTGACCTCATGCTCATCCTATTATCCTCCACTGGTGCCCCGCCAGCGTCAACCGTTAGCGCAGGCGAGTGAAATCTTTTATATTATCTGTACATATAAATAAAATTGGAGTGTCTGTTTGTAATATTGAAATAACCGTTTTTTACTACATGCATATGAATATAAATACGGTACAAACACCAAAAAAACACTTTTTACAATTTTTGTCTGTCTGTCTGTCGGTCTGTTTGTTCCGGCTCTGAAATGGCTGGAGCGATTTTAACGGGACTTTTTTTGGCAGATAGCTGATGTAATAAGGAGTAACTTAGGCTACTTTTATTTTGAATAATTCTTTTATTTTAGAAAATTAAAGTAAAATTCCACGCGGACCTAGTCGCGGGAATAGCTAGTCATCTATAAAAATACTGATTACAATATTCACCTGTGTTATCATGGTGATGCAGCAGACCAGCATGCCGGCGCAGAACGAGGTGGTGGCCAGCATTTCCACGCTGGTGGACAGTGAAGTCGCCAGCCATGCCAGGGTGTAAGGTAGAGCGGCCACCAGCAGAACTCTCTTACGGCCGAATCTCATCGCCATGCCTCCCAAAATACCACCCACTAATGCACCTGTTAACAATAGAAGTCTAATTAATTATGGAGTTATCTATATATCGATACGAGAACGGCATGGTCTACCACAGGCCCGACAAGGGAAACTATCGGCAGTAGTCTGTACTGAGCCGCCTAGGTGGCGCTTCCGTCTCTTGTCAGCAAGCCTTTGAAGCCAGGCATCATCGCAAACCCTTCGACCCTCCATTACGCGCTTGCGCCAATCTTTATACAGCCACGAAAAATAATAAAATAAAAATATATCAGCGATTAAATAGAAAAAAAAATGTCATTTTTCAAAATTAGAAGCTAGAATTGCCTCCTTTTATATAAGTCAATTAAATTAATCACGCCGTCAAATACTTTTAAAATGAGTAAATTTTTGTTAAAACTTTAAAGGAAAAACTAATAATTTAAATAAAATTAAAAACTTTAAATGTTTGCCTTGTAAATAATATACATTTTGAGTTGTGCCATTTTTCTATTTAACCGACGATAAATAAAAATAAATTGCTGTTCATTAGTCTCGCTAAAACTCGAGAACGGCTGAAACGATTTGGCTAATTTTAGTCTTGAAATATTCGTAGAAGTCCAGGCAAGGTTAAAACGGTGATAAAATATGAAGAAATTGCATGTAAAATAGTAAAAATAACAATTTTATTTGCTCATACAATCTGCTGATAACTGTCAAACAGGGTGCGTTCAGAAATTTATTGCGCAACTAAACTAAAACCTTTGACATATTTAATTTTGGGGCGGAACGAGTTCGCGGGGTCAGCTAGTTCAGGTAGTAGAGCAAAAGTGGTCCAGCGATTGTTACTTTCCGCTGGTCGCGGGTTCGTTCGACGGCACAAACATTTGTACTCATGAGTATGATTGTTTGTATCAGTCTGGGTGTTTTCTATATATAATATATATGTATTTACGAAAAAAACTATATATTTGTATCAGTTATCTAGTGCCCATAATACAAGCTTTAGCTAGGTATTGGGTCTAGATGTCGCTGTGTGAATTGTCCTGAGATTATTATTATACCTTTACCATAACCTTTAAAGCATGGCATCAACAAAAATACACACAAAGCATCTAATTTTTTAATTCATAGACAAAAACATACCATCAAGACTGATATCCCAGATAAGGTAATCAGAGACATTATCTGCCTTTCGGAAATGAGGGAATGAGTAAATATATAAATAGACAGAGAATGTACCACATCATAAATTCCTGGTGAATTCCTCACGATGGACTAACTGACCTGACCTCATGCTCACCCTATCCATTCCATTACATATATATGTTTATATATATAATGGGTGATCCATTATATATATAAATATATATATGGACAACGATAACTAGAAAGACCGCGCTTGCCGCCAAGTCACGCATTCCCACGTCCTTCAGTCGTGCGTGCTTCAGCGCATTTTTATAATAAATAATTATTATTGCAAATTCGCGGACATCTGACGTCATATAGGCCAAAGATTGATAATTCATAAATCTTAAACGTGTCTGTGGAATATAAAAACTGTGGAATAAACGTTTTTTTTTCGGACTACTCTAATGCTGTTGGCCACAACTGACCCTTACAGCTTCACCGGACGATACGGGGCGAGTGCAGATGTCACTCCAAATCCGCGGAAGGACTTATGGACTAAAGGACTCCCGCTTGACCGATACAAGTTTAATCTGAGGGCACCGCTAGGGGTTCGAACCTCTGCTCAGACCGTTGTAATTTCGATCCCCGTTTGAATTGGACGGGGGATCGATCGGAGGGGTGAACGTATCAAGTAAACATTTCATATCTAAGGTGATAGCGGACGAGTAATATGTGGTCTCTCGAATTAATTTTAGTTTATTATCCGGTGTTTCCATCACTGGAGAGTTAGAACATAGACACACAAAAATTTTTACAGTCTTCCAGATTCGAATTCGCTGCGTTTGATAAATATGAACGAAAACAAATTACTAGATCACTACCACCTCAATTGCTATCTATTAGGTGTTATACAAGTCATTCCAGTTTTCAGTTGTCTAAATAATTTCTTATTTAATATGCAGAATAATTAACATTATCACCTATTTAAATCTACCAGCTGATAATAATTTAGTTTGTAAGTAAATACTATATAGATAAATCAATCCAATAATGCAAATTTACGTATAAATTTGAAATATCTGAAGTACTAAAACAAAACTGCATAGTTTCAAATCAAATATTCATTGCTTTTAAAGTAGGTACTACGCAGCAATGGAATCTAGATAAGGAATGTCAAATTTCTAAAATATGTACATACTATTGGAATCCAGATATCAATTATTTGAAAATAGATAGAATCAAATAAATTATATGATTAACAATTTTACCTCACAAAAACATTTGTTAGTTTGTAATTTTAATTTAATTTAAATTAACAGCATATGAAATTATGGAATATAGTACCTACGTAAATAAATTCATTTTATTTTTTATGCCTGTTTGTTTTTGATAATCTCTGAAACGGTTTGATCGATTTTGTCGAGACTTTCACTCGCTGATAACTAATGTTACAAGGAGTAACTTGGGTTACCTTTATTTTATAAATTTTATATATTTTATTAATAGAAATGTTAGATTTCACAGTTATGAAGACGCAGATAACAATTACATAATTTTAAGCTATAATTGTATAGTTAATATTATATATTAATGATAAGGAAATAGCAGATAATGGTGACTGGTTGTTACTCGCGACATATGTATCATAAATTATTTACTCACATAAATAAATAAACAAACATACAAACATATAACATGCCTTTTATATGTACATACATAGAAAGAACTCAAACCAATATAAAAATAAAAATACAAATGTTTGTATCATGCGAGAATCGAAAACCTTATCGTCGGAAGTGAGACTACTAAACCGCCAAACCACCGAGGTCTTTAGTAAAGTAATAAGGGTCTGCGTATGTCTTAATTTATTACAGTAATTGGAAACAAGTATTTTGAGTATTATAAATCTAGGTACCAGACTATATAAGACTTATTCCATACCCCTCCGATCGATCCCCGTCCAATTCAAACGGGGATCGAAATTACGACGGCTGAGCCTAAGTTCGAACCTCTAACGGTGCCATCAGACAGAAATCAGCCTTCAGCCGCTCCATAAGTCCTTCTGCGGGTTTGGAGTGGCATCTGCACTCGCTCGTTATCGTCCGGTGAAACTGTAAGGGCCAGCTGCGTCTAATAGCTTCACAGTAAAAAAAAAACTTATATCAGACTCAGTTGAGATTGCAGTTCAGACAAAAATAAACGTCCACGCGCGACAGACAGAAATTCACTCTATATATAAACACGGCGATGCTATCATTCAGCTGAGAAATAATTTCATTAGCTTTGAATTTGTTTGTTATTTGTTTATCAAAATACAGTCCAAAGTCCGAGTGGACGGTACTCACTCACGGCACGGAATCTTTTCATAAGAGAAAGCCAACTGAAACTATATTGGTAATTTTTTTATAGCATAGGAGACAACGTGCAAGCCGCAACGCAGGCAAACAGACAAAAATAATAAACACTATTTTATATTCTTGCTAACATAATTATTACATGTAATTTTTTCACTATGCGATGACCTTACAACTGCTCGTGTGGCGTCCCAGTAGTGAGTAACTACTCAGTTGTCACCCGCAACTAAAGAAAGCTATCAAAATATGTTTTGAGATAAAATCAATCTTCATGTAGAGCTTTACGTCAACAATAAAAACCGTTTCAGATTTTTTTCCGTTAAGAAACAGACGTACTGACTTCTGCTTTTATTATAATAGTATGCATTGCATATTATCAAATAACAAACACTTAGTCCAATTAGTTTTTTTTACTAATTGACTCACTGACAATTTTTTCTGCGTCACTTTTTTCTTTCTTTTCTTTTTGTTTTTTCAATAATCTGTTTCACTTTTTACTAGTTCTTCAACATTTCTTATTACAGCTCTTCTCCTATTGATCGTAGCGTGATGTTATATAGGTTACAGCCTTTCTCAATAAATGGACTATCTAACACTAAAATAATTTTCAAAATCAGACCAGCAGTACCGGAGATTATTTCGAACATACAAACTCATAAACTTTAGCTCTTTATAACATTAGTGTAGATAAAAGCTAGCGAATACCAACGTGTATAGCGGTTTCCAGAGTTATTTTTTATTTATTTAAAATCGTTCGAGGAACGTTTATTCCAGTTATAGTACAAAGTAAAGGTGCGTTCACAAGTTATAAATTACGAAAAGTGTAACCATAAAGCAAAATTTCAGAGAACAATATATTATTCAAGCTGGCAATACCAATGAACTGGTACATTATAGTTCTTTATGCAATATGTATTGTTAACTAATTTTTTTGTAATATTTGTCCTTATGCTCATGAAGAAAAGTAAAATTTATTTTTTTAATTTTTATGTTTCTTTGTAGCAATGGAATGAAATTACAAGGTTATGAATTAATTTAAGTTATTGAAACGACATTTTAGTTCTCCGGAATAGCGAACTATAAGGGTATCACGAGAGAGTTATATGATAACATGTTATGTGATGTTATGTGTGATGTGTATGTTTTCTGATTCAACAGAGATTAACTGCGTAGTGGTTTCTATGTTGATTGTCGCATGCCTAATCCTTATTAATGTAAATATAATTAAAACAATATTTATTTAAGAGCAACACACAAGTTTCTTGCTCATTCTTCTTGTGATGAATCTGCATTCCGAATGAGCGGTAGAATAAAAAAATTTGACTATGCAAAAATGTTTATATTAAGTTTATTTGTATAAAGATTATTTCTATTTCTATTTCATAAAGTACAACGGTTATCACTTATTATCAGATGGAACGGCAGCTCGTATGGCAAGCAGGAATAGCAATTGCAAATAAGTATGTCATCTGTCTCATCTCATTTCACGGTGGTCTCCAGGGGACCGCGTAGAAATCGAACTGACCTGGTATATATTAGTGTGAGAAGTTAAAAAATCTCTC